CAATGTCATGTAGCTGTGATTCGGACCGATGACTCTGTCAATCCGAGCACACACACACACACAGCACCTTCGATTCTGTAAGACCTGGCTGTAGTTCGCACCAGGTTTTGAAGACAGAGCATGAATACCATGAACGACCAGACGCAAGCTACCCATCATCCGACCCCCGAACCGACGATGAACTCAAATGCCGAGTAGTAAGACTAGTCGTCATCGAAATCGACGTATTCGAAATTCAGGGGGGCACATGTCAGGGGTCAAGCTTTGAAATTGCAGTTTCGAGTAAGAGCCAGCGTGAAGATATGGATTTGCGTTCGGCTGTGCAAGGTTCAAAGTGTGAGCCAAAGCTGGCATCGCAGCATCCGGAAGGCGCGTGCATTGGTACTTTCTTTACGACTCCCCTCTGACCTGACAACTTTGCCAGTCGTGTTCAGAGGTCTGTCCCGTCGGTCAGCATGTGCGCATTGACGTCGCAGCTGCTGTCAAAGGGACAGCGATCGACAGAAATCCGCTGTCCGTGAGAAAGAAACTGAGAACCTGCTTTCTTACAGGCCTCGGGCATACAGGTGCAAACAGGCAGATTCTGTCCCGATCATCCTTGGTGTTCTGGTGCAAGATTGCAGAAAGACTGAGTATCGCCAGGCATAGTTCAAGCAGCGTCAAGAATTCACAGACATTACGGCATTGGGGCTTCGCAAAATGCAGAGACCGGAGCACTGAGCCCCAAACTCTACCTATAGCCCCGAAAAGGTCATGTTTTCGAGATCATGTTCGAAGACGACCTGGACTGGGGGAGGAGACCGCTGGGGCTTGAGACCTTCATGGCCAGGGTTGCGTTTATTCATCGGCCCACCCCGCCAAGTACGTTCTTCTTGCGTCGTCAGCTCCATCCTATCCTGGACTCCTGGACCATGAGAGCCCAAAAAACGCAACTTCGTCGGGAATCGCCCCTTACCTGCAACAGAGGCCCAAGTTCAAATAGCACTCATGAAGCGTCCATACTCATAGTTATATGGAGCCGAAGATCTTGTCGGTCTTGGGATCTTACGGGTGTGGAGGGTCACTGCTCCTGCAGGGTTCAGACGCCCTTTCCGCGCGGGGTTCGGGCACGACTTCGCGGCAATGCAGAGGCCTCCGAAGGGATGGAGGAAGCTGGACTTTCCCGACAAAGTAATTCATCAAGTTCTAAGGATCTGTTACTCCGATAGTTTCAAGGTCCGTAGTTCGGGGTTTCCAGGTCCTTTCGATCTTAGGATGGCCCAAGGCCCACACGACGTTCGCAGTCTCAGTTGAAGACTGGCTTCTGAGAAGTGCGAGTCGGAATTAACCGTGCAGACATACACCTGCCTGCGCCACGGGCAGGCGCATAGTGGACTCGCGTAGTAAACGGCATGCCTCTGCCTGGTCCTGTACTCTGTTCCGACGAGGTTGCGACAACCGGCGGTGCAACTGGAGGCGCTGCGCTCAGCAGAGCTTTCCGAAGACCGGTCTTGGATGATTTAGTCGCTGCAAATTCGAGAAGTGCGCACTGCTTCTGGGCGTTCCATCCTAAGCACTGTTTTCTGAAACCTTCGATTTTGACTGAGCCATCAAGCCCCAATTTCGGAGGTTGCGCATGGTTGCACACCACACTCAAAAATTCTTGATTAACTTCACTTCAACAAACAGGTCGCAAGCGGCGCCTGTCCAGCGAAGGAGTCCTGAGGCAAGATGGGATGCTGTCCTACGCAAGGGCAATGGCACACCCCCATGTTCATCCTGTATTCATGCTGCTGAGTAAAGCTGTGCATGCTGGCACATTCATGGTCCTGTGCATCGCGACTTCCACCCATTCCATCTTGATGTGCATAGAGGCGGAACCCTCGCATGACTTCCGCGTGAAATGATAAACAATTAGCTTGACCGGTTTTTGCCCGCTAAAGTTGGGACCCCAAGGTTGCGGCGCGAAGGTAAAGCATGCCGGGAAGTGGTCGGCTGTAGCGGTAAATACGCCTTCTTCACCTGAGACCTGCTCTCGTTCACGGCTTGTCGTGCAGGGGCCAAAAGCGCGGCAAGTACCAACTCGAGCTCACGGACGGTTCCAACCTCGGGTCTCAGGATTTTCGAGGGTGCACAACTTGCCTGCACGTATGATGGAATCCTGGAGACTACAATTGCTAATCATCTGCCTTTGTTTCTTTCCAGCCTTGGACCTACGGCTTTTTGGTGCTTGCGCACAAAGGTTCCGGAATCCTCGAAGTCACCGTCAATCAGATCCAGCCGCTGCTGGCACTGAAGCAGGCCACATCCCGGAGGTCAGTTCTGATATCTCCAAGCATAAAGTCATAAAGTGTATACAACTCCTATCCCAAGGCGTCCTCGTAGGCGCCGACGTCCGGACGGCCCGCAATGCTCCACAGTCTGCAGGTTGCCGAACATCAACCCCACAGTGACCTTGAAAGAACCGAATTCAACCTCGGAGTTTGTCGCTTCTGACGTCACTAAACCTCCGGCAATCTTGCCACTTCTGCAAGATCCCCTGAAGCCGAAAGCCGAAACCGCGAACTCCAAAGCCTGAGTATTCAATTCGCAACCACAACCTCGAACAACACCACGACACAAAGCCTTGAGGCTGCAATGCCCCTCACACCTGCTCTCCAAAACCCGTGAACCTTGGGCATCCGAGCTTAAAGCAAAGCCCCAGCAAGCCAAGGACCCTACAAACCATGAGCCGGCCCTGAACCCCAAGCCCCGACCACAAGTAGAGGTTTGCAGAATTTGACACATTCTCCCTGCATAATAGGCCCTCTTGTTCGGGTTGCAAAAGCGTACCCCAAACCCCCCCCTCTTCACATAAGGCCCCTGTTTATCAACCCTAAAGACCTGGCATCAACCCTAAAGCCCTGGCCAGGCCGAGCGCATTGAAGCCTCGGGGGTTCTGGGCGATGGGCCCTCGTCCTGAGGCCCTTTGAAGGGTTTTGGAGAGGACTCAGACTGTTTGGTTATGTTCAGTTGGTTTGGTTGCATTCCGCATCACATTCCGGTCTGCTTCGGACCCTGTAGTTACACTGTAGTTCCGGCGAGTTGTTGCTGGCAATGGGTTTTCTGCAAAACTGGAGGGAACAGATCGAGGTTCAGTGCAGCCAGGCCTCGTGAGGAGTTTGTGCACGGCTGGTGTTGGATTTCAGAGTGGCTTTGGGATCATGCGGCTTCAGGTTCTCAGAGCGGCGACGATTAGATGATAGGTTTTGGTGTCATGCCTACTTCGTACTTCGGGATGCTCGGGCCTTCTGATCCGGGAGACTCGGAGTAGCATCCAAACCACATGCCGGCAAGCCCTTGAGCCGAATCTCGAATGCATATCTTACTGTTGCTTGCAGTGGTTATGGTCAATGATTCTATTGGTTAGTGCCTCTTCGCCAGATGAACCCCCGTAAAGATCTTATGAATCTTATCCTTGGTTTACGGCGCGTCGGCAGAGCGGTTGATGTCCGTCGAAGCTCCGCGCTTTCTTCGGGAATCTCATTGGTGCAGGCTCCGGCTCTGGTCGGCTACCATCTTGCCTTGGATCGGATTGACAAGGAGGGGCCTCTGCTGTTCCACCAGGTACTTGGAAAAGGTTCCGCACTTCTGCAAGCCCAGAGTCGTGCACCCTGTGATGGCGAGGACTTTGAAGCGAGAGGCGGGCCGAGGTTTTACGAGCAGACGGCTCGAGGAGCTTCGAATTTGTTTAGACTTCTGCCCGGGGTGTTTCCAGGCAGTCTTGGCCTTCGTGCCTTGGTAGGGGAGCTTTTTCGAGAGGACGGGTGCCCGAATCATCATTATGTGCAGCCCTCGCAACATATCCGAAGACGCCATGGCAATCCTGAATATGCCGAGAACTTTTGCCTCACGATCTGGACAATCTTCCGCGTCAAGAACTTACACCATTAAATGACACGGGAACCCTGAACCTCAGATGCTTCTGCTCTGTTTCACGTCGGTTCTTTGCCCCAAGAGCTCAGCCAGGATTCAGATTCCAGTCTGGGAGCACCCAGGTCGGCCCCCATCGTAATCTCGAAAGCCCGGAAACCATCGTAGTCCGAAACATCAATATTAACAATAATAATAACAATACTAGTAGTAATAATAATATAATAATCGCACAACAGAACTTGAACTCTGGCTCAAACGCCATCGATCCTTTTTCCTCATCTGGCCAGAAGTGCCATGGCTTCGCTCTGCAGAAGTCCGACATGAAGGGGAAAATGAAAGCTAGCCCCAAGGGTCTGAAACACGCCCAGACGGCTCAGCAAAGTTCGAGTTCTTCGAAAGTTTATACACCCGAAACGAACAGATTTGTCGTAGCCTAAAGTCTCGGACCCTTGGGGTGAGCCATGCGCGTGCAAAACGCACTTGGTTAGCTTGAGCGCAGCGAAAACAGCATCCTCGACACGGTTGCGTCGCTTGCTGCTGAGAGTCTGCATGCCTGTTCACGTAACCTTTGCTTGGGTACATCCGAAGCCAAGAGTCAGGAAGTTTCGATGTAGTTGTTGGTTCGGTATTCCGGAGTTCCACAGACTCCGAGGGCACATCCCCATGGATCTACTGGCACATTAAGCAGTCAGGCTGTCAGGGTTACTTGCAAGGCACTTCCTTCCGAATCGATGTGACAGATGCAAGGGCCAGACTATGGGGACCACTCAACGCACTGTTCCTTCGTGGGTCAAATCGACATCTTGATTGCTCTTCATAGAAAAACGACCGTTGTCAGGAAGCCTGGCAAAAGTTTCAGGTATGCAGTATGCACATACTAGAGAGACAGCCAGAGGCAGGTAAAGAGCGGGCGAGCATTTGTTGGTTCATTGCATCTAAGGGATTGAGCGTGTTCAACAGAGCTCGTGTCATTGTATTGCATGCCTTTGCTTCATACCGCTGCGCATTATAAAGTGTAGGTAGACATGATCTGGCCAGACAGTGCCCAAATTCATTTGTGCATACTTCCGTTTTCGGCCTTCCTTTACCATCTTGCCCCCGCGCAGGTGCTGCTATCGCTGGCGGGATGGTGGCGAGACCGGCGCACGATTTGCAGGGCTGCAGGTTCGCGCGTGATGTTGCTATTCTTTTCTCCTCGATACAGCGACTACTCTGACGTGTGAGATTCCTGGTACAGTAGCTTCGCTGTCATCAGTGCTCCCCTTTAGGGCAGCTATGTCATGCATGTCGTGTGATGGTTTCTATGCAACTGTGATGTCGGGATTATGCACTCCTCGGGGCCAGATGGATTGTGAAGATACGTGCCTGTTCATTAGGAGCGTTTTAGCGCTTGGCAGTGCGTGCTCTCTGTTTCAGTGGTCCTGCACAATCTTCCTCTGCGAGTTGTCACGAAGAGTCGGTCATAGGAGCCTCGTAAGCCGTCTAAGGAAGGAGGGAGGATGACAGTTTGAATGCTTCAACCTAGATACACAGCACGCGGAACTGGCGGGGAGGGCTCACGGATGTGGAGTTCCTGATTCAAATCTATGGCAGTCGCACATGGACTGTTGAAAGTGGAGGGCCTCCGCACTCAGCTCGCCGAGACGCCTCGAATGATTGCAGACTAAGCTCCTTGCACAGAAAACCCTGTCGTTGGGACACAAAACGTTCAGCGCGGGAACGTTCAAGGATTAGCTGTCGGTCTGCGCAGAGACCAAGACTTTCTTGTCGGACAGTCGTCTCATACGGTTTCAAGACAGGCGAGAGGCAGACGCGTGACGGACACAAACAGACCAGTTCTCACCGACAAAGTGCTCAACCTGCAAACTATACGTCGAACTTGCCCTTGTCGTGCTGCATGTATGCTTGGGAGCGCAAGAACAGTCCAGAACATCGAGCGTTGAGGAATCGTGACCGATGAACAGAGAATCCGTGCCAACAGGGTGACGTGCGAAGGCACTGCGCAGGATTGCCGGGGAACCCGTATGCCCGTAGCCGCGTTTGCCCTCGTACTGTATGGAACTACCCAGGAGTGCCAAACGTGCTGTCATGCATGTTTTGTGCTGACAGCAGGCATTCCCATCTGCAACGGCCCCGAGACGATCGCTGCTTGTGCGCAGTCGGCCTTGGATGTGATGTACTCGAGACAGCTGCAGAAGGTTCACTCTGGGGGCGGCAGGGGGACAGCGTGGGGCAGATGCGAAGGTTTCCAAGGGGTGCGGCCAGCTTTTCCATTCATGGCCCGTACCTTTTGTTCGCGTTGTTGCTAGAGACGGACATAGTTTATGGATTTTCAGCCTCTACCGCAGTCGGGAACCAATCACTCATGTCAAGCCTCAGACTCATGCGTACTCATACCATCGAGGAGTTAATGACTGCAATCGCTGCGTCTGCGTGCCGTATCGGACCTGGTTCGTACGTTATTGTTTGTTGAATTCCTGCAACTCCTCAGCGAGTGCTTTGTACAACGCTGCAGGTTTCGAGGCTCCCTAGAACTGCCCATGTTGTGGGCCAGCCCATCCCTAGCGGCTCAGACTCAGTGCTTCCGGGTCGGCTTCTGGGCCGGGTTTTGTCATTTTAGTCTCAATGCGAAGCTCGAGCCTCTGTAACGCTTAGGGTTGAGATGTTAGATTCCCCGGATGCGCGAACGAGTGAACCTTGTTTCTTTGATCCTGGTTGTGCACAACCAAGCCCCGGAACTGGCAGCAGGACTCACAGATTCGCTGGGCCAGCACTGGCTGCAGGTCCACAAACTCGCGACAACCTCACATACTTAGGTTCTTGTGCTTGGGAGGTCGTTCCAACGAAAATTTCTGATCTGGTCCGGCTTACCTTCATTGGGAAGAGTCTCTCAGGCCCAGATGGTGTCAAGGGTCATGCTCGAAGTCGAGGGATACGCATCATACTTGTACGGCATCCAGGGAAGGCAGGATCATGCCTGGGGAGGTCTGTTGATGTGAGTAGTAGTCGCCTTCGCGTCGTAGTCGTACAAGTAGTAGTAACAGTAGTAGCAGCAGCAGTAGTAGTAGCAGCAGCATCCGTCGTTGCCGAAGATGGAGAACCGGCATCGTTGCTCTTCTTGAGCGTGCCAGGCCTGATCTTGGCGCCACTTCTTTAGCTCTCGTCGACGCCCAGGAGGAAGCCGTTGAGGCACCGCGATTGCGTGGAATGTATTGCTAGTCGCATGTCCTGAGTCGGGCTCTTATTGGCGGCCGTTGTCATGATGATGACAGTTGTCTTCAATGCCCGTGCCATCCTCGTTCTTTCCATCATCAGCAGCACCAACACCACATTATCATCAGCAAAAGCTACTAAGAATTTGGATAACAATACTGCTGGGGCGAATAACTACAGCCACTGCTACATGTCCTACTCCTGCGACTACAAAACAAAGAAGTATTGCAAGCTACCACTACCACTACTACTACTACGACGACGACTACGACGACTACGACTACACTACTACTACGACGACGACTACTACTGCTACTGCTCTGCTACTGCACTGCTACTGCTACTGCTACTGCTACTACTTCTACTTCTACTTCTACTTGGACTACTACTACTACTACTACTACTACTACTACTACTACTACTACTACTACTACTACTACTACTACTACTACCATTATTATTACTACCTGGGTTCGTGTTTCGGGGATTTTTGATTTAGTGCTTGTCTTCCGGCGTGCTATACCCGAAACCTTATAAAGCCTAGTCTATATATCTCTCTCTCCCTCTCTCTCTATCTCTATCTCTATATTTTTTGTCTATATACATACATATGGTATCCCCCCTCCGGTACTTACCTTCTTTTTTGATTTGCGAGTACTATAGGCCTACACTTCTAGTGGTTCAGGCTGGTACCGGGGTGGAGAGGTGCCCGATAAGCCCTTGTGCCCGACAAGCCCTATCTATACGAGCAGTGCTAGGAGCCATATGTAAACCGTGTTAATGCAATTATGCCCTTGTGGTATGCGATGCAAGTCATTTTCACTCGCGGTGTTTGATATGGGGGCCGATTCAGTTGAATCGGGCGATTCAATTGAATCGCTGCTCAGATTGAAGATTGAAGGTCCCTGAGCAACTTCTTCCAAGAATCTTCAGTCTTCAATCCGGCCTGGATTCAGTCGAATGGGTCGATTCAACTGAATCGGGTGGCGGCCTGGATTCAGTCGAATGGGTCGATTCAACTGAATCGGGTGGCCCAAACCCTTCATCGCGCAGACCTATAGACTACCCTTTAGACGAGGTTTATATACAGAAATTCAAGAAGAGCCCAAGATCTGAGAAGTCACCAACCGAAATGTAGTTTACTGAGTAAGGATCTTCTATGAAGGAAATCAGGAATCTAGGGGAACAACCTGTAGAATAGCTACCCCTCCTTAAACAGTAAAGCAATTCATATAGAGTACCCGAGGTAATACCCTATAAATCACCCCCCCATATACCTCATATATACCTTATTGGACACCCTATGGCCTTTTGATTACATCTTAGAATACTTTCCTCTACATACCCTATAGGGTACCTTATGCAACACCTTGCGAAATACCCTATACAGTGCCCAATAGGATACGCTGCCGAATACTTTGTATAGCACCCCTATATACCATATAACTTCATTCAAGACCATCCGGAATACCTTACAGAATGCCAACCATATAACACCCCTTAGATAAGGATTTACATAAGCAAACTCAAGAGAAGCCCAAGATTTGAGAATATTCACCCATTTTGATTGTAGCTTACAGGGTAAGGGATTTCTATCAAGGAAATCAAGAATCTCGGAGAATAGCCTACACAAGACCTTACAGATTACACCTTCTACGAACCTTATAGCATTTCGTAAAGAATAAATTACCCTCGGTAACATCGTATGGGATACCCCTATCCTAAATTCCACATATGTACCTTGTTGAATACTGTATAGCCTATAGAACACCTGTAGAACGCCTTCTAGAGAGGGATATCCGGTTCCACAAGCGGGGGAGTGCAGATATCATAGTACATGATAGTACATGGGGCGATACCATGAAGGGGGGAAAGGGGGGAGGGGCTCGCCGGGGCGCAACCTTAAATACCTTATAGCACATCATCTGGAGCACCCTGTACAATACCTTATAGAAGACCGCCTACATGTGATACTTCTTGTATACTGTATATATATATATATATATACTTTGTAGGACTCATATGACACCCTATAAGATGCCCTGTTCAAGTACAAAGCAGAGTCGCGCAGAGGTATTTGGGAAAGGCAAAGAATCTCGGGCTGAGAAGCAAAACAGGATATCGATATCCTGTTTTGCTTCATTGGATGGGGCATGTGTATTCGGAAGACCCGTGGACCAGTAGAATACAGAACAGGATATCGATATCCTGTTCTGTATTGGAAAGATGGACGCCGACTGTTATTACACCTGTACTCTTGGACAAGAAGAGACCTGTATTATGTCATTGCCTGCGCTTACGCAATACACCCGAGGATATCGATATCCTGTTCTGTATTGGAAGCCGAACCGTGACAGCGATCAAGCCTTGTCGAAACCCTTTCTGCAGCTCCAAAACGAAGATGGGCACAATGTGTCATAACAATAACATCAGCTGTGCATGCGTTCTCACGAGCCTCCTACAGTTGCTGATAGCGCTTGATGGGCAGGGATGCGCGGGGCTTCTTGGGCGACTTGCCCGGGCTTCCTTTTTTTTCGGTTTCTTCTGGTAACATTCCTCTTGCGTGTGGCCTTTCCTTTGACGGTTGCCTTCCTCTTGATCACCTGGTCGGGTGCATCCAGAGTGACCGTGATCCGTGGTCGGTTGAAATTTCAAGAACAAGACGGACGTAGACCTTCCTTTCGTTGGGAATCGGTTGCCCGGACACAAGAGGCACCGCCAGACCGACAGCCAGACCAATGCAGTCCACATGCATCCCGTTTCCGAGCAGGTCTGTCATGCTGTTGCTACACTCCCTGGGGATGGACAGGCCCCCGAGCCCCATGAAATTCATAGCCTGCTTGTCCGTGAGCATATGAAACGAAGCATTGGCATAAACGATGGCAATCTTTGAAGATGTGGTGAGGCGTGGGCACGCACGAGCACTGCGTGAGCTACACTCCAATGATTGACTGATGTCTACTGCCAAAGGGCCATGGCCCTCGATGGAGCGCATGCCATAATTCGCTTATTGCTTATTCTACGTGCTTTGTATCTACAGCACGTCTATACTAGTTGAGTTCATTGTATCCTGTTTTGTGTACCGTAATTCTGTCAAGAGGATTGACCGTCTCGCTGCCGGGTTCCCACCACCGGCGGCGGGTACCCGCCGGCGGGTACCCGCCGGCGGGCACCCGCTGGCGGGTCCTTGCCGGACAGAATGGATTCGCCGTATAGCAGCTGCCATAATAATAATAATAGTAATAGTAGTAATATTTTAGTCATTAAACATTCAACGTAACTATATGTTTACAGCACGTAGTTAGTACTAGTTAAGATATTTGCTTATTATGTTTCTATGTGACCTACTTTTGTTGAAAGCATTGCGGGCTTCGTTGGCGGGTACCCGCCGGCGGGCACCCACTGGCGGGTTTCGTTGGCGGGCACCCGCCGGCGGATACCCGCTGGCGGGTACCCGCTGGCAGTCCCCGCTGGCGGGTACCCGCTGGCGGGTCCCCGCCGGCGGGTAGCAGCGGCCGGGATGCGGTTTCGTCCATCAGTGTCGGCAATGCTTTGGTCCAACTTCAAGGAAGAAGTAGTAATTTGACTGACCCTGCATGTGTGCTAGTGTTTGCGATGTGGCGACCCGCTTAAAACAAAGCTACTTATGACAGTCGAACAGACTAGTTGTTGCCAGAGCTCATAACTCCGTGAAATACTAGGGGTCCCTCGAAGCATGCATATATGCATATATCGTATATATCAATCTGGTTGAAGGATGGCTTGTAGAGCTGGGTCTTCTTCGCGTGTAGGGGGGCTTCCGGGTAAGTGAGGCTTCAAATAAGGCGTCGGCTCTGACTCACAAGATCGAACCAGGAAATGACGAGATAAACTGCCACGACGATCTGAGTCCACAGTCGTCTTCCAGCTGGATGTGTATATGTACATGTATATGTATATGTATATATATATATAAGTGTTATGTATCAAACAGAAAATTACCCTTTGCAGAAAAGATTTTTCGTACAAGCCCAAACTCGGACCCAGCTACCACTACTACTACGACGACGACGACCACGACTACGACTGCGACGACTACTACTACTACTACTACTACTACTACTACTGCTACTGCTACTGCTACTGCTACTACTACTACTACTACTACTACTACTACTACTACTACTACTGCTACTGCTACTGCTACTGCTACTACTACTACTACTACTACTACTACTACTACTACTACTACTACTACTGCTACTACTACTCCTCCTCCTGCTGCTGCTGAGCTGTTACCATCTTCAGATTTGTTATCATCACCAGCATTCTTGTCACAATCACCACTGCCATCGTCGTTTGTGTCACTCCCGTCACCATCATCAGCATCGATCAGCATTCTAGCACCAGGAATTCCGCCACCACCAGCACCATCCTCGAGCACAAAAGCACAAGCAAATCACGCAAAGCACCATATGAGGCATGAAACCTCGGAAGAAGCCTCCCTCTGTTCTTGTCTCGAACATCCACGGCACCGCTGACCGACTGTTTGGGTTTTTAGCGAGGCCTGGTTGTAAGTACTGACCAACAAGGCAGAGCTTGCAGCATTCGTCCAAGACTTGCCGCATGAAGGGATGGCTGTGCAGCCAGACTCGTTTTCAAGCGCTCTAGAAACCTCAGGCCCCACCGGAGTCACCGGAGCCCGAGCAAGTCTGACGAGGCAATCAGCTGGGTACTGCAGGGCCAAGATCTTTCCTCCGGCAAAGGTGGCGGCCAAGTGAACAGGCACGGCCACTCCAGTTTGGACTTTCAGGACATAAGCGGTCAGCCTTCACCGTGGGCAGTGGTATCGATAAATCATGTTAACAATCATCATCAGCATCATCAAAACGATCACCATGATCAACATACAGCGTTTTGCGGTCACGCTCAGGGCTCCTGATTGCTGATAGTCTTTGGCTCTCAATCTCCACCGCCCACAAGTCCATCACCAATGCTCGTAACGTTGCAGCATTCTTATGGTGATTCATGTGTTTCCTCAGGCCTGGTGTGTACCGGACGTTCTGCGTGGAGGCGTCACATCTCAATGCTGGGCTTACTGTACAATCGAGGAGTTACGGGATGCAGGTAGAATATGGGTTCAGCAGTCGTGTTTGGAGCCCTGGCCTTACGAGTGCTTGGTGTGGCTTTGGTAGATGTGGGTGAAGAGGGTCGACCTGGTTGTGGTAATTCATGATAACGCGATGAAACGTGTGGCTTGGCCGACGGTGTGCATCTTTCAACTTCCTGGCCAAGTGATTCAAGTACCGGATCGCTACAGAATGCGCAGTGCTTTAAGCAGAAAGCAACAGGTTTCAGCAGCAGCCTTGTGCCACGCCTGCTACTATTGAACCAATTCCTGCGACTCCATGCTGCACGACTTCCTTCTGTCTGTGCATACCTCCCCGCACCAGATCAAACGGGTGGGAGGGCTTCGTCCTAAAGGCTTGGCAATGACCCAGGAAGGCAGCAATCATCTTCTGCACGTGAGGTGCTATCTCCGTGTCGACGATCAGCTGAGTAGTTTGGTTCTGCCTGCAGTCGATGGGCGAAACTTAGGCCTACTAGTCTCATGATCAGGAGAGGAAGGTACATGTATGCGGATCTGCTCCCTCTTGCTGATTCGTACAAAGCCCACATTCAGCAAGCGTCCCCTGTCAACCGGGAAGTCGCCAGAGATTGTGTTTGCAGCCTCCTGAAGCCCCAATCGGTCTATACCCGCACTCGCAGCCACAATGTCCATGGCTTGGTGCAGATGGACCTCGGCACCAAGCTCTGCGTGTGCGCACTTCTCAACGCGAGGCACCTCTGCAATAAATGCACTTCCACGACGAGCCTCATGAAGTCTGCAGGGCCTTTGCCATTCTGTAGGGTGTCTCGGTTATCCCGTCAAACCCCGACTAGCATCAGTCCCAAAGGATGCCAGACTGAGAGTGGCAGAGTCTATCGAACAATCTGTTGATTGAGGCATGCGGCATGCATCCAAACTGCTGCTTGTCCTAGCTTCTGGCCTGGGTCTAGGGAGTAAGATCTCAGCCCCAACAATTGGGAGAACAGGCTTGAATGCAGCTTAGCGCATTTGTGCGGAAATTCTCTATCGCGAGATGATGTTTCAGGGCTTCGAGCTACGTTTGACAGCTAGCTCCCACAACCGAGAATCAAGCCTGGAATGCCGGTGTCTTGCAAGCAGCAAAGAGCCCTCCAGTGCTCCACTTCTGAGATCAGGCGAGGTCGGAGCAAACCGTGAGAGGGGGGCTTGCTTCATTCCCTGCTAGCTATGCTGGTCCTAATGTTCTGAACATAGCTTTCGATTCGGACATAAAGCCAGGCATCTCAGCGACATGGAAGGCGGCGAGCTGTCGCGAAAGATGATTCGCAAGGCCTCCGAGCGCCAGAAACGGAATGCCAAACCAACCTCACGGGAAATATTCCCTGAACTCGCTAAATTTCCTGAACAAAGCCGCTTGGAGCTTGTGGAAGGGGCTAACCGGCTAGCTCTAGGAAACAAGAAGATTCCGTGCTGCTCAAGGATACAAGATTCAAGTCCAATGTGTTGCAGCTCGTCGGGGTATTTAACAGCGAGGAAGCTGATGCGACCATGAGGATGTCTTCAAAAAGTCGTCAGTCTGCGGCACGACTGAGATGCTTCCCCAGCGTTGCCCCATAACCCCTAAGAGCCTCTACACCCTGTGCGCAGAAGTGCGGGTCTAACATGGTTTTGTCATGAGAACCGCGAACCGCCAATCACGTTGGTCCCCGCGTGTAGTGGGAGAAGCAGGCTGGAAAGTCATGGAAGTTCCAGCTCAAAACATCAAGCGTACAATCAAAACCACCTAAAAGACAGTCACCCATAGCCGAAGTTCAGTAGGCGCCACATCCGATCCGCTCCAGCTTTGGTCCGTTTCTCCAGGTAGGGGCCGGCGAGAGCTTCATGCGCAACATGGACCACAGCTCCGAGGCAAGGCGAGGGAGCACAAGACTGCCAATCGTCAGCTGTTGTTTTTTGGAATCCTTAAACACGCCTCACGTTCTTCTCCCTGCTGTCTCCCGTGCTCTCCCTATTTTGCCACTATACTTTCATAGCGTTTGCGGCTTCTGGGCCTAGGGAGCCGAGGGTCCCCGTCCTAAGTTATTGCAACATTTCACTCTTCGGCCTTCTTTACATAAAGACCCACGTTGGCGCAAGGGCAGCTCATTGCAAGCCACTTCGCAAGACGCATCTTTGAGATTAGGGTTCCGGGCCTCTGAACCCCTGAATCCGAAAATCCCATGTCGAAGATAGGATCCCGAAACCTCAGCCCCAAACTTCGGCATTCTATGCACGGAAAGGTAGCATCCTAATCTGTTCAGGCATCCGTGACCAACTTGGAGTCGCTGGTGACCATGGTCCAGGTGTGCTATATGCCACACTGATACTCTGTACTGTCAGTGTCAGGTGCCCCACGCATGCTGTTCAAACTGGAGACCGAATAGAAACAAGCAGCATTATGAGTCGCCACTTAGGCTAACGGGTTCTCGGGCTTCTGCCGAGGCAATGCTGTGCACAGCATTAGTAGTATTGGCAGCAGTGGCGGCTGCTACACTGCTACCGGTTACTGCTGCAACTCCCACCACTACCTTAGGTTTGAGAGGGGGAAGGGGTCTTGTTGCACACCTCAAGTAGGAAACATGAGCTCGAAAAACGAACTCCCTCCAGTGCAGCTGCAAGAGCTTCACGACACATTGCCGCCATGGCGAGTAGAGGTCTAGAGATGGTTGGCTTGCTCCTTCGCGAGGCTTGAATATGCATGTGAAGGAGCGCACCCGTACTACACAGCGCAGTTTCGATCTAGTGTGACCTGACCCATTGTGTTGCGTACGTTGCAGTCGTCGCCTCTGAGTAGGGTCAGAGCTCCGTATATGAATGAGCCTGTGTCCTCGTGGCAGCAGGATGGTCTTGGTGTTCACACCCAGAGCGCACACATAGGTCTCCTCAAATCCTAAACCCTGCATTAATCCAAAGCCTGACTGTTAGTTGCAGCTCGAAGGAACTCTGCAAAGGTCGCGATACCAAGGTGCCGGCAGCAGTTCCGTTCACCTTTGCTCGTTGAGACTCGCACACTTCAGCATGCGATTTTCGATACGGTTGGGGTGCATCGGGGTGTGCGAGAGGTTGTTTCGTGGGGCCAGCACGAAAACCATTGCTGCTGTGGGCTCTTGAGTCTCGAGTCTTGTATCTAGATCTGACAGCTGCCTGGGCCATGAGAGGTGATTCAGCGTGGCACGGTAAAGCAAGGATCTGATATCAAAGCTTCGTTTAAATAGCCTCAAGGGCTCTGCAGATCTCCGGAGAACCATTGGTGGCACTGCTTACTTCTTACCTTGCAAGTAAAACTGACCAACCTATGACCTATGAATGCTCGCATACCGTGAGGTATTACGTATATGCATGTATACATACATACATACATATATACATCTATGCAGTTGTGTTTGTTTGCATGTTTGTATGGTGTGTTGTGTGTTTCTCTGCTTGTCAGTTTGGCTGCTTGTGAAGATCTAAACACACCCACGAAGGGCATGCGGGCTTGGATACGCTTTGAGCCCTCGCGGCCAGAAATTCTGTGCATGCGCGCCGTGAGCAAACGACACAGTACAAGAACCGTTCACATCATTCGAGACAGCAGTCACTTGACAAGAGAAATCTCTTGGAAAAGAAATCTTGCAGACTGTCGTTTCATGAGACGTGAACCTACTCTGGATACAACACATCCGGAAGCTCATTATAAAGGCGATAAAGGGTAAGGACAATCCCTCGGACCTAGGGACAAAATCCCTAACGCTGAGGTTCCGAGATGTTCTATGGCCGGTAGCAGTGTTGAGACGGCACAGAGGTCTGCAGAGATGCAGGATCACCCTGAGCATGCATCCCTACTTGCAGACGTGATATTTTGTGTAAACACCAACCGTGGCGACATTCAATCCCTGGGGGTGCACGCACGACCTTCGAACAATGCGAACCCACTGGAGCCCCGAAGGCCAGCAGACAAGCCTTGAAGGCTGAGGTTCTCGAGCTCAACAAGAGCGACATGCACAAATCCCAAAAGGACGATTTCCAAACTTCCGAAAACGGTGGATGCCATCGGTTTAGCCTCCTAGGATGAAAGTCCCAACCTGCCAGGCTGAACAGATGGCAGAGCTGCGGAAAAGCTGGGCAGCGCAGAGCCGCCTGATCTGCAGCAGACTCCGGACCGTGGATGGCCCCAAAACTAAGTATTGAGGCCCCTATATTACGCAAGTGCTCCAATCTTAAACTCAATCTTTCGATGAAGGATGGAACAGTGTTCAGGGCTTGCTCTGGTCTTCCCTCCACGTGGAAATCCCTCAGCCCCACTCAAAAGGTTCCTTTGCAACCTGAGGCCTTGTGGAGGAGTGGCTTCTGCAGATAGAGTGCTACACACTCAAGTGCCCAGTGAAAAACAAAGCAACGCCAAACCCAAGGGTTCACAAAGGTTTCCAGAAACACTTGGCAGAATTCTTTCAAAAAGCCACGAGAGCACAGGTTGGAATTAGGATTCCCGATAGCCGCATGCTGGGTCACGCATTTCATCCTCTCTCTCCCTCCCTCTCCCTCTCCCTCTCCCTCTCCCTCTCCCTCTCTCTCTCTCTCTCTCTCTCTGTCTCTCTCTCTCTCTCTCTCTCTCTCTCTCTCTCTCTCTCTCTCTCTCTCTCTCTCTCTCTCTCTCTCTCTCTCTCTCCTATCCGTGAACCGCTTGCATGCATCCAACATGCAACTTTCTGCCGACCATACCGCTTGCCACAACTCCGCGTGTGACAGAGTAGCATCGCACAATCGACCGGACTTCCTGTGGCATCTTGTGGCCATGGTCTTGCCAGCCCAGAACAGTGGGTCTGGGTTTCTTCAAGTGCCGGCAAGGTGGCCGAAGCCCGTTCAAAGACTCTCATCAGTCCTAGTCCACAAGGTGTAGACCTAGTTCTTCAAAGGTCTCAATCTTGATCCTATCCCCAAGCTCAAAGCTCTCAGCTGAGCAGAGCTACGCCGATGCAATGAAGCTACAAAAGAACGTGCTGTTTCCCAAACGCTTACCGGCAGCGTGGACATCTATACGAGTATGCAAGAAGCACCAGTAAGCGGCCATGAAAGGCCAGAGCAAGAGTCCTGCACCTCAGGCGAGACCGCTCGGGAAAAGTTGGCTGAGGCAAACCTGGGTTTGGAGACTCGGCCACTCGCGCGGGTTTGGACCTGACAGTTAGGATCTCGCCGCTTGAAGTCCCAAATAGTCCCAAGGCGCGCTCAGCAGGCACACCCTGTCAACCGGTACAGTATAGGATGACACGACGCTTCCCCCTCAAGCACCACAACAGGGCCCTCTACCTTGACATTACTCACCCTTCCAGCTTTTCAGAGCTAGAAGCGGGGTCACTGGAAGACGTTGAATCATTGAAGGTGTAGCAGCTGATGGCTTTGGTGTGGGGCTTTTCGTGGTGGCGGCCACTGCAATTGTAGCCCCAGCATGCTATGGACCCAACCTCGGCTCCCCAAAGCAATCCAGCTCCAGCCTCCGAAAAAACACCCAGCTTCCATGGAAGACTTGAAGGAGGCGATGTTTCTTTTCACTCCACAATCGCTCAGCCGAGCCAACTGGGATCCTCGTTCCTGACAATAGGGCAATCAGGCTTTGAGATCTCGTCGGCCGGATATGTGCAATTTCGGGATTCATGAGCTGATGGCTTTAGGCTGTACAACGGGCAGGCGAAGCTGCAGATTCAGTCTGCATGCTGCAACGACGAGGAGTTCAAGAGCCGCCCGGCTCTTTAAAGAGACGGTCCTAAGCACCACATTAAACCAACCATTGGGCCGTGAGCACAAAACAGAGACGGGGATCACATCGGACTTCGGGTTGAGTTTTTTCTTGGAGCTATTGGGGCAGCAAAGTAAGAAGAGTTCGTGCATAGATCTAAGGCGATTCCGGCTTCACTCCGAAGAAAGAGCCACGTTTTCGGACAACACCGGAACCGACCTTCGTGTAGGAGTTCTTGATGATGATTGCAGTGACGATGGTGGTGGTGATTGCGATGACGACATCATCATGATCATTATCATCACCACGTCGACGACAATGTTTAATACGGGGAAGAAGGAGAGGCCAAGGCCGTGCAGGTGATGATGGCGATGCCAATAGTTGTTGTATTGTTGTGCCTTTGAAAATGCAGATCGCTTCGATGCTGCTCGTGTAGCCAGTAGAATGCGCGGCCTCGCGGAAAAGTTCCCGAGAAGCACAGGTATCATGATTGAGCACCACTGCGACGCCACGTGCTGAGTTCAGAACACAGATCTTGGATTCAGCCAGCAGATCAGCTGTCGCACATCCATCGCGTCATTTCAAGGGATCCTTCTTGGAGCATTTGAAAACAGGCTGGTCAGAGTGCTCATTGGTCTCGAGATATAAAAGCATTTAAGCGCGCCAAGAAGTATGAGGAGTGCATGTGCACGGCAGCAGAGGAACTGTCTGAAGGGCTGACTAGTCATAATTATTCATATACACAGGTGCCTATGCATGGTAGCGGCTGCTGATGCTGCTACTACTTCTCCTGCTGCTGCTGCTACTACTACTACTACTACTACGGCTACGACTACGACTACGACTACGACTACGACTACGACTACTACTACTACTACTACTACTACTACTACTACTACTACTACTACTACTTCTGCTACTGGTGCTGCTACTACTGCTACGACGACGACTCCTGCTGCTGCTGCTGCTGCTACTACTACTACTCCTACTACTACTACTACTACTACTACTACTACTACTACTACTACTACTACTACTACTACTAGGACTACTACGACTACTACTAGTAGCATAGCAGTAGCAGTGGCAGTAGTAGTAGTAGTAGTAGTAGTAGTGGTGGTGACTACTGCGACGACGACGGCTACGAGCATGGCCAAGTTCATAATCAATAATGTTGATGGATGGATGCCGCTCAAAATGCCTATACTAACAGTGTTGCCCTTCGTTTCAAAATTACTGCTCCTTGCGATTCTATTCAATCCGCCTGTTCTTTGCTGGAGAGAGTGAGGAAGACTACAATATCAATGAGTATTAGGTGTACGGTGTTGGATTGTCGTATTATGCCCTACTGCTTTGACCTCCGAGGCATGACACTGATTTCAGAGTTGGTGCTAGTAGTACTGAACTTGCTGACCAGCTATCATGACTGTTAGTTTTAAGTGTACTTCCGGAGGCTCAAATGCCTCAAGCCTTTTTTCGTACACCAGTACTGCCCGTATTGCTAGCAATAGCGCCCTAACAGTGCAAGAGAACCCTGATTACAAGTGCTACTAGCCTGATTGGTTATGCACACAAAGCCGTATCGCACGATTTGACTCATGGTTTCTGCTATCGTTATTGCTGCCACTATCTTTGGAACACTAGGACCATGACTTTTGACTGTTGATTCACAATCCGTTTCCATTACTCTTCTGGTCATATTCCACAGTGCAATGCGACATGAAGAGCCTTCCCTATACCAGTTCGGCTATATCCATCGATTTTTCCCCCATACGGGAATTACGATTCCCACATTGCTCAAACTTTGAACAATCAATCTGCGTTTCCAATTTCATTCATGGACCCATTTCGCGCGATGAAGCGATGCAGAATGCATAGATGGTATTGTGGCGTTTATGACCACGTGCACCCATCAATCTGACCAGTCAAGCACCAGTGTGCTTCAAAGTTTTGACCAAGCATTTGTCTATCCATCTGTCCATCTTTCTCCAGAAACACATAATATGCACACATTCATGTACATATATGTATGACGCCGATGTCTCTCTTTCATCTTTACAGTGTGTGCGTGTATGTCACATCATATGTGTTACATTTATATATATATATATATATAGAGAGAGAGAGAGAGAGAGAGAGAGCAGGTTGCTGTGGGGCCTGGGTTTTTGTAGACCCGCTTTTTGTATCATATTTACATGCTAACAACTTCAAGCACTTGGAAAGTATGCGCAGCATTACACCACAAAGTCCCGTACGCTTCTATTCCTGAGCAATGTATTCAAGGTCAGGTTTAGCATGTGTATAGTCAGACGTCAGCGGGTACGACACTGCGGCATCGAGTGGCTACGTATCCAAAGTTCTTCCCACAACAACTATCACAGGCAGGAAACACTGTAAATACCGTGTATTCTGTACTTTATCAAACCAGGTCTTGGGGTAAGCCACATAGACTCGTCCCTCACGGAGCCGTATATCTTATCCCTGCAATACTCTTCATCCTATCAAGCCAATCTACCCAACACCAGAACTCAACGAATCATCTGCTTTGGCATGCAGTGTTCGGTTGTTGGAGAACCTGTACGCATTGAATTGGCGTACTTATTTGGCAAAGTGCACAGGCATCCAAACAAGTGTTTAGGTCAGTGCTTTAAACTTATTTTTACATGTCAACAAATATGGTTGAGATCAATATTATATGTATTAACATGTGTTATGACTGTCAAGGAGTCAAGGAGCCAAGGAATAACGAAAAGCTGCCTGTGGTTAATAAGTCTGCTACTTGTCGAAGATGACTCAAATCCTGTTTGCGCATGTTCATGTCCTGCTGGCTGCTATAGGTACTTTCGCTTTGGTTACCCACAGCCTACAATCCAAAATAGCGAGCATCTGGATCAATATGAGTTCTAAATCCGGACATCTGGTTGTATGGAGCCGCTGCCGCTGACGCCTGGCTCGGGGAAGCTTTACGAACCCTTGTGGTCCAGGCCTTTGCATGAACTTGCATGGCCTTCATGCCCACAAGTACCTGTATCAGAAATTTTTTGGTTTTTTATCCAATCAATCCCTTCGTATACCTCCGGTCCTCTAAGGTTATATAAAGGTGGCAAAGATTGGACCTCTGAGCTATGTTGCAACAACACTTGTGTTTACACGGGAAGACCAGCATACGCATATATTCACCATATTCCACAGAAGTAAACCCTGTGTTTATGGACAACTCTTCTGCTTATGAACAAGGCCAGGTGTTTATAAACAACCGACCACATAAAATTGTGCTTCCCATACGCAGAAACACCGTAAATACCAGTGATTTCATTGTTTTCTCAATCAAACAAGGTCTTGGTCTAAACCACACGAACCGATATGCTGAAAAAGTTCAGTTAACGTACCAATGTGTCAGTGTGCAAGATTTGCAGTAAGGTGAGGTTTGTGAATTTGTTGGTTGGAGTCAATGGCGCGGTGCTGGTGCTGCTGGAGTGAGGGTTGGGGGGGGGGGGGGGGGAGGGTTGTCGAACATCAAGCCAAGACTTCTGCCCCACCCCGCCTCCCCCCCCTCCACCGCTTCCCCGCGACATCACGGCATATATAAATGAATACGAAGAAACATACAACCAGCAGCACGTGTAGGACAAGAAGACAAGAGTTAACTATAGTTGATCATACAATAGACACAAAAGACAACGAGCAAATCCAACAGATTCAAAACGCTGGAAGCACGGTATACCGAAACGCAGCGTTTATAAACAAACCCTCTGTTTGTAAACAGACCGCGGGGGTTGAAACAACTCAGAGTTGATGTTGTAGTTGGAAACAAAAACGTGCGCGCATGCGCACCAAACGAGCGACCAACTGACACAGAAACCCACGCACAACCATTAGAAACATAAAAAACCACTGAAAACAGTGGGTTGCCAAAACGCAGGCCCCACAGCCTCCTCTTCTTTATATATATATATATATATATACATACATATGTACATATGAGTATATAAATATAGACTTATACATACATATATGCATACCTACCTACCTACATACATGCATACATGTGTGTATAAGATACATGCACATGCATATTTTCTGTATGTACAGATATGTAGATATATAGTTCTTTGTGGAAAAAGATGCGACGCACCAATACATTACCCTAGAATCCCTTTACCGCGTTCAGAACAGAACATGGGACTCTTTCATTTTGCCTTTGACCTTTATGCGGACAGCTGGGGCTTGCACAAAAAAACGTGTCGAGGATGCTCGACTATCTGCCAGGCTGCAGGACCAGCCAGGGAATAAATTCCATTCTTGTTTCTGTTCGGGCTACCGGGGCTTCTAAAGCGGGTGGACGGTTTCGGTCTCGAGCACAGAACATACTGTATCATTTCGCATTTCGGGTATGCTAGTTCAACACACTGGATAGAAAGGCATAGAGAGAAGGCCGATCGCATTGCTGGATGCTCCGTATTCGTTTGAGGACGGTGCCGTACAAATTCGGAATAGTTGCGCGAGCCAGGCAACGAAGGTATCATAACCATTGGCAGCTTTCGAGAGTCCCCTAGAGGAATGCACGGGCACTTCGTTCCAGAACCCTGGACATCCCTGGACCTCGCCAGCTTTTGCAGACATAGACGAAGCCTGACATGCCGCAGCTGTTTTGTACAGCAGCTCTATGAACAACGTTAGGCCGGGCCAGGGCTATGCTCGTTCCACAGAAGCCCACAGCACCTCGGAAGCATCCTGCATTCACTCGCCATCGTCGATATCGATGCGATATTGTTTCAGAGATTGCTTGCAGAGCCGATTGCGACGTGGAAGCTGGCGAGACAGAACCAATGGTCAGCCGGGTCAGCCAGAGGTCAAGAAAGTGCGTGAGTTTTCTCGCAGAGCCGGAGATTCAGGAGTTTTACGTTTCAGACCACGACGAGGCCGAGGACTCAGAGGACTTCAGCGGGGGCCTCGCTGGACTCGTGGCAAAACGCAATCTGCGCCGAAAGAACGTAGATGAGGACCTGACACATCAATGTGTTGACATGTTCAAGCACAGGGCTCTGAGTGGCACTATGTCCTTTGGCTGTATAGCCGCATAGCCTAGTTGGCCACAGAGTTTGGCGAGCTATGCTATCAAGTGTTCTGAACCTCTTGAGAATCCCATGTTGTCTTCATCTGAAGTTTGCTTCGGACTTGGGCTGTCTTGTTTGAACCCACGCTTGCCTGCCGTTACCGTCTTGGTTTGGAGTGCGCTCGGGTTCTTGATGCCTACTTGATACTCAAACGCGACAGCCAAGCAAGCCCAGCAAGCAGAGATCTTCCGAATGATAAGCCGGAAGACTTTGCACCAATAGTTCTATTTCGTGTCCGCCCCGACGCTGCTGAGATGCGCGGAGTATGCTCACCCACAATCCAGCCTCGTTCAATACACGCCGACTACTGCTTGCTGCATGTGTGCACACACATGTCAAGCAAAGGGGTGCGCAGCTTTTGCTTGATATGCCATCTGTGCAAGATATCCGGCTGGGCTAGGTGGTTTGTGCGCGAGGAATAGCATACCCCAGTGTGCGATTCATCACAGGGGCATGCACGTGTACTGCGCATGGTAAACACCGAAGCGACGGCTCTGAGAGAAACGGTTCCCGAAACAGATCACCCCAACCGACTCAGGGGGTGTACCTGCAAAACTCTGGTAGCGGCTAGTCTAAAGAACAGGAACAGCTGGTCTCGATGTTTCTCGTCAGAAGCGGAGCATCGGGCTGTCAGGGGTTGCTCGCATAGCGTATGTATGCCTCTTCGACGTTTGCCACTGGCAGTGTTAAGCTACCAAACGAGACGGACAGGGGGAGGGAGGGGAGAACCAGGGAGACAGGGCCGGGAAGCCAGAGGGCGACGTGATGTGCCTATTTTGTGTATGTGCAGGTCTGTGAACAGTATGTATGTGTGCGTGCATACATGTAGGTACTATGTGTATGAAGAAAAGGACGTAAAGATGCTCAGCATTCCTTGGCAAACTTGCTCTGCTCGATCACTTCTGATTGAAAGCCTGCAGCTGTAAATCGAGCACTCATCTCGCACTATTCTCCATGCTCATGAATCCCCGTCCGCCGGTTCAGGAGTTGCATGTTCTCGCTGCACCGAGTTACACGCAGCATAATCTTGTCACGTGCAAGTAAATCTTTCAGTTCTCGATTGCAAGCTTGGCAAAGCCAGAAGTTCAGCAGATGGGGCTAACTGAAGGGCAGATGCCACTTCAGAAAAATGCACAGTTCGGGCGAAGGTTCACATCGTGGTTGAATGCGGCTGTGATGAAACACAGAAGCTAGCTAGCTTCCTCGACCAGGATGTGAACCTAGGTTTAGGTTAGCTACCGAGTATTCTGACTCGCACTCTTTGTGCACTCTTTTTTCAAAAAGAGAAGATCACCCCCTTATGCAATCGTAGAGCCTTCGACATGACAGTGCTGGTGCTGCTAAGCTGCACCATCACCTTTTCAACACAAAGCTCGGAGACCTCTAGGATGTGCTTGGAAAAGAAGACCGTCGCGTGAATATCATCACATGAATTCGCCAAGGCTCCCCATCACATGGCTGCAGGATTTGCGCGACGAGTGGCAAGCCTTCGAGAATCTTCTAGATGGTCTCTATGGGTGGCCCCTGGCTCAGCATCCTAGAGTTCAGCGGCTTCGGTGTATGAGTGTCGGCTTTCGAGTATGAGCTTCCACGGTGACCTATCCTCAGCGCTCAGGCTGGCATCTCCGACATCACTGCTTTATGACGCGGCGCTTCTACGAAGAGTACGCGCTCAATTCATTGCTCGTCGTTGGCTGTGGTCTTGGATGTCTTGGATTGAAAGAAAAACTCCACACTGCACGGTAGCACTATCAGCGGACAATGCCATATACGACACAGTCTATACACAGTTGGAAGCCTGGGAGAGAGAGAGAGAGAGAGAGAGAGAGAGAGAGAGAGAGAGAGCGGGGGTCAAACCCCTACACCATAGCCCTGGCGAAAGAAAGAAAGCGAAAGAGAGGGATTAAATGGCGCAGAGGGACTTCAGTCTACGACAGGACATCGTATCCCCGTGTTGCCACTTGACAGATGCAGGACACAGCATATCCGCAAAGCTTGGGCATCATGGCTCTCCTGGGATTTACAGCTAAGCTCAAAACCTGAAACCGAATTGAGAGTAACCAGACAGATCAGAACGACAATTACGACAAAACGGATCATGGATACCATGACATCCACAGCCACCACGAGGAGCAGGACGATGTCAACACGGGCTACGACAACGATGACGATGACACCAGCACCAAGGGCAATAGCAAAAGCAGCTGATGGCAGTGTGGACAGCCACTGTCAAAAAAGAGAATGGAGAAGTGATGCTGCATGACCCGCGGCAGGTACACCAGTACATGGACAGAGTCTTGAAAATCCTGTTGGACGTGGTCCGACGGAATGGCTGCACCGTGATCCATGCCTCTCACAGCAAGGCAGGGCTAGACATCGGGACATGGTGGTCCTGCAACTGGAAAGCTTTCAGAGTTGAAGGGCACCAAAGGCTAAACCCATACGTCAATCTCTGGCCCGAAGAGAGCCCTGCACCTTCGCCCGCCTCTGGTATATCGCAAGCACTGGTGCTCCTCTGGGCTTTACTTGTGCATTTGGGCTGCGGGCAATTACGTATTGCGACAGTGTCAGCTTCAGAGCACTAGCGCAGTGGTGGGAGTCAGTTCTGGCTCGTTGATGAGTTCTGGATTTGGGACAAGAAGGATGATTGAAAAGAATAGCCATTGCATCTGAGTGCTTCTTCACGGGCATGCTTGCAGAAACGCGAAAGCGCGCCGTCGTATCGGCTCAAGTGCAGGGTTCGGGTCTGCCGAACCGTCCCAGCACAGCATGCACAGCCCGATGATGCGACACAATCAGCGTGAGTATTGCCATGGGTGCCCGACCCAACCCATTTCAGAGCCTCTAGCACAATGCCAATCAAAGACAGGACTCTTGTCGTCGAGCTACCCATACCTGTCCCGCTTGTGAAGGGAGTCTTTCTCGTAGTTTGTTCAAGACTGTGTCGGGTGTTCAGCCTCGAGTGCTTGACGTGCTCTGTGTTGATTTGGCTGCTTTGGGTGTTGTCGGCATCTGCTCCTGCATCGTGTTCTCCACCTTTGTTTTCCGGTTGTGTTTGTGGCCTGTACATGCACGCGCTGCACGAAGTAAATGCACTACCCAAGATTGCGTGATACTGCTAAACTTTAGGGTGCGTGCAAGCACTAGAAAGAAGATCTGGTGTTTTCCTCTCGGCAATGCTCCCATGTGCCGCCAAGAATTGCTTAGACTACATGTTTCCCCAAACAGCGCGGCTATGGTTTTCTACATTCAGTGTGAAGAGGATTTGGTTTCCACGGCTCTTGCTGTGCCGCGGTGAACATGTCCGAGTAAAGCCGCGTTCTTTTCTCACTCCTGCGCCAAGTCTGGCGGCATCCGTTTCATTGTAGAGTCCCACGCTCTGGCACTGCCGAAATTTATGCATCATGCTCATGCCACAATTCAATGCATAGCTTGGGATGCTGTTGATTGGAATTCGTGCTACCGCGACAGTCCCGTGCTTGTGCTGCGAGAATTTTTGGAGTGCTGGGGTCTTTCCGCCACAGTCCCTGCATGTCCACCTCCCGAGCGTGCCGCGCAGAATTCCGTTACAAGGAACGGACTTTCTTGCATTGTGAGCATAGATATCACAAGCTGCCACTCGCTTTGTGAAGAAGCCATTGTCCAGCACATGCGGCACTTCAGTTCCACCAGCTGTAGCCCAGCTGGCTTCACAAGCGTTTAGCTCACATGCATTGAACACAAATGAAACACGCTCAAACACAGTTTTTGTGGGAGATGCACCAATGTCCTGCAACGGTACGAGAGTTCAGTCGTATTTTGGGTCCGGTCTGTCAACACTGGATCGATGCTTCTTGGCCTGGGGAGTCAACAAATCTGAACCGTATCGAGGAAAGTCGAACTCGTGATCCCGAACATCAGCAAATCATGCACTGCTTGGGCAACCGCTCGCGTGCTTGATGTGTCCGCGTTTGTTTCCCTGCTCCGGTGGGCGTTTACGCGTAGGTGAAATGCCGCTTCAAATGAGCCTGCAGCAACTTCAGCACTTTAACCCCGGACCCCCAGCTGTTTTTGGCATTTGCTCCTGACAGCAGCCCATGGTTCGCCGCTACGATGATGGTCGCGGCCGGCGCCTACCACACGGCCGGAGGGGAGCATAAAGGAAAGGAAGGGAGGCGACAGGCAGACGAGATGGAAGCTCTGAGAGTTGTGCAAAAAACAGCCTTTGCAGCATCGAGACAGCCAGAAATGTTGCAATTTGCAGATGGCAATGGAAGTGGAAGCCAGCCTTCAGACACACGACGCCCAAAAGCATCAGCAAAGCCCCACTGAAACTAAAAGAACCTCTCCGAACCAGAAGGTCACGCAGTCCACAAATTGCTGCAATACCGCCTGATGATTGCTTCCACTGGCGATTGAACAAAAGCCGAAGCACCCCCAAGCCGTTAACCCTAAAAGAACGCCAAAGCACTGGAGGTGATCTTACAAAATGGCCAAGCCTTTGCGTGCGGTTGCAACAATCACGGCCAGCCATTCGTCGGCACTGAAGCTTTGACTATGGCCTGTAGAATTTTGGGAACTTCAGACTTTTGGCATGTTGAGTGGTCAGGAGCTGGAATCCCTGTTTGGGTTTTTTGGCTCCGACCATACCAAGTCCAGCCGCAGTGGCAACCGTGGCTACCTGTTAGTTTAATGCAGTCGACATACATGTAGCAGAATTAATGCTGGTATAATACATAGTAGGAGACCTATGCACGAAGACCAAGCTTGTGAATTACTGCGGCACTGAAGGACATGTACATACACGCGAAATACCTCTGGTGACCTTAACGGTGATCCTCGCATTTTTCCTGAGTGCTCGTAGTCAGAAACAGCAGATGGACATGCTTGGTTGGGTTTGGCAGCCTGCAATGACGGGTGTGAACCTTCAATCAGAAAGGGACAGAGAGATGATCTTAATCAAGCTCAGGGGGACTTGGAATTCGTAGAAGAGCTTCGCAAGTCGGTGCAGTTCGCAAAGCTCATGCAGAAATAGCTAGAGGTTCATGATGTCTATGATGTTGCATACACACCAGCCAGCACTACGCTGATAATTAAAGGTACCCCAAAGTTTGGGGTCCAAACGCAGAACGGCACGATGCAGCAGTTGCGGACTTCGTGAAATGCTTGGCCCTATGACTTCAGCAGCTGCAAGCCCTGCCAAGTCAAAACAGTAGTAGCTCAAGAGGAGAGACTCAGCTCTGTCTGAAGACGTTACACTTGTTTCACTTCAGCAAGACGAAGAACTACAGAGACCCCATTTTGTTGAACCCTGTTGAACTTTCGCAAGAAGACACCGCCCAACCCCGCCAGCCGCTTTCAGTGTAGACTGAGCGGCTTGCTTTCATCGGCATTCTATTGAGTTTGAAGCGCGCAGCACTTCTCAATACACGATGGTCCCAAACATCGGCACAACAGCTGCAGGACTTGTCATTGCTGTGGCATAAACACGGCGCAACAGCAGAAGCTTCCTAAAAAATTTACGTTGCAATCAGATTGCCATGTTGCAGGATTGTACTAAGTCTAATCTGGTGACCGCCCGCCCCCACCCTGGAGGAAGTGTCTCGTCCACAAGGTCCAGGCAAAACGTTAAAGAACCTCCACCCCTACCTGAAAACTGATTTTTAAGCATACAGTGTATTGTGGGGTACCTTATTAGAACTATATTAGTAGAATGCGCCCCGAAGCCCTATTCTATTGGCCCCTATGTCATACGGTTACAAAAAAGCCCGCAAAAGCCTTCGAACAGGTGTGCCATCCCGACACTGCTGCCTTGGCTCAGCTACGTGCGTGTGGCAGCAGGCTGCAGGGTGGTTCATTGAAGATGGCCTTTTCGGAGACTCTGTACTGTTCAAGAACACCAGTTAGCATATGCGTTTTTTTGGGAGTGCAGTTAGCATGTGATGCTGTTTGGAATCCCGGATGAAATTAGACAAATTTTGAACCGCAGTTAGCATATAGAGGGGGTCCCAAGTATGCTATCTTCTCGTGTGGGGACACGAAAAGCACCAGCATACCGAGGCGAAATGCAGTTAGCATGTCAAGAAAACTGCAGTTAGCATATGCCATCCTCGATGCAAAGATGGGCATCCGAATGGCAAAAACTGCAGGGAATATCAATAAAACCAGTGCAGTTAGCATATTCGTACCTCCTAAAACCGACGAAATGACCTGATATGACACATATACTGTATGATAAGAATCGAGCTGCAGTAAACACTCACTTACTGTACTTGGTTTAAGGTTCACTGTAGGGCTTACTGCACAGTACTGTTGGGGTTTCTGCTAGCTTTCTCCTCTTCGAACAGTGAACAGTGAAAGCACATGCCGGCTTTCTCTTCTTTGATCAGTACAGTACTGCACAACACGGTTCTGTACTGTACCGCACTGTAGTGTACTCTACAATACAATACTGTACAGCACGCTCCCCATTTGCCCTCGCCCCTGTCACTCTCAAAGTCGTGTTCATGGCAGCCTGCAGCAGGAACCCATCCCACCCAGTGGCACAGCAATGAATGTGACAGGCAATTATGAGGCATGGAAACACGGAAGGAACCATTCGAAGGCGGCTGGCCCGGAATATATGCTATCTGCGGTTCTCTGCAAGGTTTGGACAACAGAAATTATACAAGAAGGGTTGCCATCCACTTTGCCCGTTGGGCTTCATGTACAGTAAGAGAAGTCGTAACATTTGCTGTTTCCCCCCAAGTAACCGCGCCAGACACAAAACATGGTTTCCACACACCGCCTCTGAAACTTTCTACCGAACCGTGGGCTTGCAAGCGACAAGAGGCACTTCCAGTGCTAAAGTTGTACTGCAACCAAGCACAATCTAGCCAGGACGCCAAACGAGGTATTTCCAGTACTAAAGTTGTACTACAACCAAGCACAATCCAGCCAGGACGCCAAACGAGGCATTTCCAGTACTAAAGTTATACTACAACCAAGCACAATCCAGCCAGGACGGCAAACGAGGCATTTCCAGTACCAAAGTTGTGCTACAACCAAGCACAATCCAGCCAGGACGCCGCACAGGGCATTTCCAGTACCAACGCTGTACTACAACCATGCACAATCCAGCCAGGACGCCTAACAAGGCAATTCCAGTACTAAAGTTGTACTACAACCACGCACAATCCAGCCAGGACGCCAAACGAGGCATTTCCAGTACTAAAGTTGTATTTGAACCAAGCACAATCCAGCAGGACGCCAAACGAGGCATTTCCAGTACAAAAGCTGCACTACATACAACCAAGCACAATCCAGCCAGGACGCCAAACGAGACACTTCCAGTATCAAAGTTGTGCTACAACCAGGCACAATCCAGCCAGGACGCCAAACGAGG